CCTTCCTGTGACTCAGTTTTTTGTCCTGACCTAGTCCTTAGGGAGCTTAACTTTTATTGTAACTGCAGTTTTCAAGTTTCCTAAAATTTCTTTTGTGTTTTGTCTGCTTAGCACTGTGTAGTAATTATGCTACTTTAATATACCCTTATAGCTTTTGAAAAAGAGTGTTATAACTCCAGATTTTGAAAAAAAGGAATCTGTTCCACCTTTAAAAGAATCGGTCCACCAGCTGAAGAAACAACGTAGGGTAAGTAGAGGGTCACTGAGCAATGCCCAAAGCTACAAGAATTGGGCTGACTTTATAGCTCTCTGAGGGCGTGTAAGCACCCGTCACTTCACTTCTCAGCTTAGTCTGCCTTACAATGATTAGATAATGGGATTATTATTATTATTTAATTTGTATAGTGCCCTTCATCCGAAGATCACAGAGCAGTTCACAACATAAAAATACAAAACAAGAACACAAAAAGCAAAGCAATAACCCCTCTTCCACAAACACATTTAAAAGGCCATAGAATGTTTAATCAGCCAAAGGGTGGTGACATATAAGCTGTTCTGAACTTCTTGGAAGAAGAACAGAAAATATGACAAATGAAAGATGAAGAAGGTTGATAATAGGCTCTTCCTTTTTAAAAGCACTCTTCAGCCCTTGAGCAAAATGCCAGCGAAATCAGACTCAATCAAGTGCTCCTTAATGTTCATGTGGTTGCATGTGACAACTGCAACACTGAATCAGTAGGTCTTTTTTACAGCTTAGCCTGTGAAGTCAGACAGCAGCATGTGAAGAAGCACATGGGTGCCAGAAGAAAGGGGCTTGCCAAGAGATGATTCCTGAAGAGACAAGAGGACTCGGGGGCTTTAGGATGGGTGTGGAGAACCATGCAAGAGAGAGGCAATAGCTTAGAGGAGGACAAAAAGGTGAAAGGTTTAAGATTGGATGTTTGTGGATATTTGGGGGAACAGAGGAGGAAGTAAGCTTCATGTGAAAGATATGGATACATTGAATGAGGAAAGAGTGATACTGCGCATATAGTGATGTCAGCTTGTAAGTGTGGGCTACTTAATATTACAGGAGCTTCTTGGGTATTTGGGTTTAATTTGGCACTACAGTAAAGCATCATATTGAAACAAAGATGTATTAACTTGAAACATTAGTTAAAGTTTAAAGGGTAATAACAGAGTCTGACTTCAGCCCATAGATGCTGTATTTCCATGCCCACTGCTGGATGGTGGTGGGAAGCTGTATTATCAAAACATTGTCAGAGGAAATCCAAAGCTTTATCTATATGGGGATAACACACATGCACACTCATTCACATCCACACACTACTTAAACTCCTTACCCACTTCTTACCCGTATAATCTCTAAAGTGCTTCTTTACTTTAAAAATAACATATGAAGGCTTTGGTAAACTAATAATGTTGGTTTAGATAGTTACAGTTGCTTTTTAAAAATTCATTGAAGCCTGTTTAAATATGAGGAAAATGTTTGAATATTGTGAAACCTGCCTTAATGTAAAGCTCTAAATGTTAGGATAACCTTTTGTTATATGTCTAGCTTCTAACACTTTTAATCATAAAGCTTGCTTGCAGTTCTTAACTAGTTGACTTTATTGCATGAAAATGCAGTTGTTTATTAGCAAGTGGACAAATACTGAACTGCTGTTTCTTGGTGTGTTGAATACAGGCAGAGCGAGAGAAAACAACAGGCAATGGTTGGTTTGGTATGAAAGCCCCAGAAATGACTGATGAATTGAAAAATGACCTTAAGGCTCTGAAGATGAGGGCAGCCATAGATCCTAAGAGATTTTATAAAAAGAATGACAGAGAAGGTCTCCCCAAATACTTTCAGGTAAGAAAATGAGAAGATATTTTCAACTGGTTTTGGGTTTCTGCTACACCACGCTGAAGTTAAGCATACTTTGGAACATACTGACCATTATCTACTTTCCTTAGGTAACAAATTTTGTATGTGCATGTCACCTTAAGAATTAAACACTTCATTAAAATATGCTCCAAAATCTGTGCTTATTGTATTTCAACATATATCTTCCTTCAGTCATTTACAGTTGCATTCCATTTGCTCAGCATAATGCTTTTTGCTTCCTAACTTTCAAATGTAGTATGCACAAAACATTTCTGTGTTCATTTTTTTTCATTGCTACTGCTTGAAAAAGAAAGTGCATGGCTCCCTGCTGCATCCAAAGCTTCACTCCTTGTATATATTTTTATTGTAGCCAGTTACTAGAGTCCAGAGCACATATAAGCAATAGTAAGTAGATGGTATGGTGGGGCTGCATTGCTCACCAGACCTCCTGATGGCTGAGTCCCTGCAGCACACAAGGGGAGGGAAGTTGGTGGCTCTGCCAGTGTATTTGCATTGCGCTGACATCACCCCCTCCACCCCACTATGCAGCAGCAACTCGACCACTGGGATATTACAGCTCCACAATGCTGTCCATAACTACAGATAAGCATACTGAAGAGTCAAATGGATTCAGCTGAACTTGCACCATTATTTGAACTTAAATTCTGTAAACATGTTTAATTGTGTGCTAGATTTATGAATCTCCCCCTAAGATGAGCTCAATAAAAGTGTCTTAGCATGCTGCTTTTCTTTCTTTTATATCAAAACCTTTTCTGGATATTGCAAGTTCTTCACTGTGTTGTATGTATTTAGCAATTGTGTTTGAGAGTGTAGTATGTACTGGGCATCACTGCTCTTTGTTTGTCCAGTGACGCCTCTTTTGTAAAAATAGCCCTTCAAGTGTATGTAGCAATAAAATATCTTCTATTTTCTTTTCTCAGGTTGGAACTATTGTGGATTCTCCAATAGACTTCTATCATGCCCGAATTCCCAAGAAAGAGAGGAAGAAGAACATAGTGGAAGAACTTCTGGCAGATTCTGAGTTTAGAAGGTATTTGGAATGAATTTCAATTGAAAACTTTATACAAGCAATGTGGTGATGTCAAAGAATGTGTTACGGTTTTACTAGCAATATCTGGAGGACCACATTACTCCCATATGATCTTGTGCATTTAACATCGGAGGCCCTGCTATGCATCCCAAACATTTTCAGAAGCATAGTTGGTTGGAACTTGAGGCACAGGGCCTTGTCCATTTCAGTGCTCAGATTATACTGAAACTATCTCTTTGGGGTTGTGTTTTTATTGCTTTGATGTCACGTGAGTAATGCTGTAAGTGCTTTGTGTATATATAAAGAACAGCAAGGTGGGTTTCTTTATTTTTAAAACTGCATATTCATGGATGCAGGAGAAAAAGACAATTCTGAAAAGTCGGCAGAGATACTTCATCTCTTTGGGGTGTTCCCAGTGTGCAAGCAGAATGGACCTATGCTCACAGTGGAACTTCACTTTTCTTTTCTCTCCTCCCCTCATGAGTGCCATCAGAATCTAGTACAGTAGGTTGGAGCAGATTTTGAGGGTGAATGGGGAGCTGCAGTGCAGAGAGGAATGTGAATCCCCTTTGAACAAGCATCTAGTTATGCAACATTGGATTCCAGCCTCTGTCTTTGTAAGAATTGCATATTGCGGTTCATACTGCATGTTGTAGTAGCATCTTGCTTGCCTGTTAAGACAGAGCCCATTTTCTTCCTGTTTTCAGGTATTTATGTTGGAGAGACAATATTGAGATTCTGTGCCTGATTGGGACATGCATGATGATTCATTGCTGCCCGTTCAATCTCTTGTTAGATTGTATGAGAAACAGTACTTCTGTTTAATTTTAATCAATTAATGAGTGTAATTTCAGTTGTGACTAGTAGAATTGGCATCATAGAATAGCTGTTTTTATACTAATATAAAACTAAGCTGTTAGCTATAAAAATATTCATTTTTTAAGTTTCTTGAAACTAGTTTTATTCTTAAAAAACCATCTAAAATCTTTTCTCAGTTTTATTGTAGCTAGTAGGATCATACCAGGGGTCCTTCTAGTCCTGAATTCTGTTTGTAACAGTGGTTAGCCACCTATCTTCAGGACGTTCACGAGGAGGGTATGAGGCAACAGCTCTCTTCTGGTGTTTGTTCTGGTACTCAAATGCACCAGCATTGAATACCATGGTTCATTTTCTCTATCGTGGCCAACAATAATTGCTATTATTAAATTGAATCTATTTTTTGGTTTGGTCTATAACCGATGATAGTCACTACGCTGCTTAAAGTTACTTTGCACCTGCATATTTTTAATGTATATTATTCATACTTTATAACATTATTTCTCTTGTCCAGATATAATAAAAGGAAGTATCAAGACATCATTGCTGAAAAATCAGCCCTTGCAGCAGGCAAGAAGTATCGGAAGAAGAAAAAATTCCGCACATAGCTTTAAAAAGGGGGGGGGGCTGAACTTAAATTCCCTGTTAAAGATGTTAAAGATATATAAAGATTTTACAACTACTGGACTCAGTTATCTTATCAGGAAGAAGAGGACAAGGCCGGTCCTGGTTTTCCAACAATATCTTGGAAGTGAAATTGAAATATGTAAACCGCTTTGAGGTTTTCTTTACAAACAAGCAGTGCATAAATTTTGTGAAATAAAATAAATAAAAGATGATGGAACTAACCTTCAGAAAGAAAAAGATAAACTTATGCAATATTAAGCATTCTGAATATATATGGGTCAATTAAATAAAAAATGACAATTCTAATATAAACTTAAAAATCTTAAAATGAAAATTTGTGATGTTGGCATAGAAAAGTGTAAAACCTGTGTGTGCTTCCCCATTAAAATATTTCTAAGAATTCACGATCAGGTGACAATGCATTATATTCACCAATGAATTTAAGAAAATTTATTTTGTTATGGAAATATTGTGAAGGTATGCTCTGGAAAAGGGAGGAATTCAATGTCACAGTCTTCTGATCATTCTGGCAGCACATTTCAGCTTGCCAGACAAAATGATCTGCCCTTTCCTTCCTGCTCCCAAAGTGCTGTTTTGGGTGTTCCCCAACCCACCCACCCCAACCAATTGGGGAGAGGGCATGGGGGAGAAGAGGGGGAAGACCTCATTGTGGAAGTTGTTGCACAGGGCTTCAATTGATGGGACTCAGATGAATCCTGACCCAAGTTCTATAAATGAATATGAATGTGAATATGAAGATCAAAGATAGTACCCTCTTTCAAGGTAAGACTTCATATTTAAAAGGGATAATGATCGAAACATTTTAAATGGGCTGTTCACATAACTCATTTCAGCTCAAAACAAAAGGACATTACACTAGGAATTATTATGGTGTTAACAGGAATTTTAAAGATTTTTCATGTCACCAGTAAGAGTGTTATCTAGCACTTTGGGCCCCCCTAATCCACTACACCACACTGACCCTCCGTGCTAGTCTTTCACATCAAAAGCAGTGAGCAATGTGGTCCCGGTACCTTCTTGGCAGCCTTCAACTTGCTGCAAAACTTTTTGAGTCATTTGTTTTTCCATTTTTTCGGTGGGTAAATGATTTTCGTAGGGTCAAACCCTGTTGTTGAAACAATGAGAAAAGTCAGAAGGAAAGCAAAATAATTACCATTTCCCTTCCAAAGGAATACCTGCCTCCTTACCCAATTAGTGAGATTCTCACTGGCCACACAATAATTTCCACTCAGAAGAAATTTCCTCACCTGAAGTATCTGGATCAGTCATGTCCGTCCCCTGGTCATTGGGCCTGATAGATTACTCTTATTTCTGGTTCCTTCTTGGAGATCATGGGATGGACTTTGCACCACCTGCTGTGTAGCTGTTTCAACCTAAGACAGAAGGGAGAGAATGTGATAAACTGGTTTGTAGTACCTGCACTGAAACTACTGTGGAAGGAGTACAATCCATCTGCGAATGTTAGCTTCTGCTTACCGTTGTATTCTATTTGTATTCAGTTCAACTGTAAGCCTGATTGTTTTGTGACTTACAGGGCTTCACTAGTGCACTATCCCAACTCCTGAACTCTAGTGGTCAGACTTCACAGGCATTTTTAATGCATTTGCGGTAACCCTTCTACAGAAAACTAAAAGGACTTGTTTTATTGTCTTATAATCGTTCTCCCAGATGGGTTGAGAATGTACTTCTCAGTGATGACTCCATTTTGCTCTAAAATGCTTGACATCGCCAAATTATCCCTCCGCAGAGGCAGTGATGCAACACTGTTCATTGAACCTCATGAATATTTGGGACATTACATAAGCTGTCTGATCAGCAGAAAGTTGGTCATACAAAGAGATTCTTTTAAAATATCTATAAATAAAAAGAGGGCCCACTTAAATGTGCCAGCTTCAGTTCTCCTTTCCCATTGAAAATATCCACAGCTTTGGCTTGTCTGCCCAAATATCCTGTTGAAAGAGCTTTTATTCTCTCCCTTGGGTCTGGGAAGGCCAAGTGGTTGCTGCTAAATAAGGATTACAATCCGTTTCTCACAATTTCCGTGGCCCCTAGCAAGGCAAGCTAACCTTGATGTCCTCAGCGCTAATTCTGCACGCGGCACTCTAGCACTGATGATGTTGCCATCTGTCTGGAAGAATATGGAAGAGTGCGCCTTCAGGAGAAGTCAAACCGTTGGAGTTACAGCACCTGCTGTGGCTGCAGATACCAACATACCGACACGTGTTTTGTCGCAGCCAAGGCAGATGAAGGCATCCAGTTGTGCTGCTGCAGGTGCACCATGGCGTTTCTTCTTTCTCCACTCCTCCCAGCAGTCATCCCTCGCCCGGTCACTGCTGTGGATACATGACCTGACATAGCCGTCTCCATGCAATGGGATTATTCCCACACCAGTGGGGTTGATGTTGCTAGCCTTCGTGTCGTGCCAGTGCCTGAAGCCAGACGCCCGTGGGGATCCTGCCATCTTCCGTTCTGTGCACAGGACCAAGCCAGCGTAGACGTCGCTGAGACAGAAATGCGAACGTGCTTGGAATGTGCACACAGGCCTTGCCAAAAAGTTTTAGCTGAGAGAAATGGAACAAAAGCAGCCTTTAAATAGGATAAAAACTGCACCAGCATCTCGCTGCCCTATTTCTGTAACCCGTCTCTTTGTTCACATGCATGCTTTCCTTCCTTTGCTTAGGCTGTGCCCATTTTACCTGAGACTTGGCGGGTTTTACTTCTGAGGTGGCATTATGAGGGCCACTTGCTCACATACAAAGCAAAGATCCCAGGTAGGAGCCCAGGGTTCATATCCCCCCACTCAGCCCACCTTGAGTCAATCACGTCCCCCTCCCCACGCTTTCTCTGCCTAACCTACCTCACAGGGTCGTTGTGAGGTACTAGGAAGAGGAATGCCCTTTTAAAAAATGTGTGTCTCTTTTTTGGGGGGGGGTGTAATTGGGTTGTTATTTTTCGTTTGAGTTTGTGGTTTTTATGTTGATCCTTTTATGTGAACCGCCCTGTGAGACCTCCGGGTATAAGGGCGGTATATACAGTAAATTCAATAAATAATAAAGAACCACCTGCTGCGCCACTTCACTCCTTGGATATGCGGGGGCAAATATTTTTATTTTTCTTAAATAATGTAAGCAAAAGAAATGAAGAACTGCTTCTAGGCTTTTGGGGGAGATGCTGTCGAAACAGTAAACTCCTGCTCCACTTTGCCCTGGCTGCGCGGGTAAAGCAGTGGCAGCTGCCTCAGGCCAGCCTTGCTGAGGCGGCCATGAGGCGGCTCTTCCTTCCCCCTTCAGCCTTGCAATGGCGGCGCAGGCAGGCGAGGAAGCGGACAGCCAGGGGCGAGTTTTGCGGGGACTCGTAAGGGTTTCCCTCCTCGTGCCGGCAGTCGGAGAAACCGAGTGTAGCCTGGCGTAGCGAGGCATCCGCCCCATTTTGGCTCGGGGGAAGGCGGGCTTTTGGCGCTCTGAGGTGATTCGGCCTCCCTCGCTCCTCTGGCCGCGGCCTTTTCTCCCCTCAGACTCGGCCGGCTCGCTAAGGCAACGCCTCCCTCCTGAGGGGAAGTCCGTAGTCGGCGCTGTGTAAGCTAAAGGAAAGGGTTGGCGCTGCTGGCCTTCACGGCAAGCTTTCGCCGGCTCAGCAAATATTTATCCGATTTTAAGACGCAGAACTGCTTTCTGTAAAAGAAAAAACAAAAAACAAGTGGGCAAGAAAAGCGGAGCAAAACGAAACAAAAATTCTCCCTGCGACTCCGCCGGGACTCGAACCCGGAACCTTTGAATCCCTTCAACCCTCTAGAAGTCCAATGCGCTATCCATTGCGCCACGGAGCCACCTGTTGGATTCTTTGTACATTCGCTATACAACCCACAGAAAGACTTCGTCCCGTCCTTCGCAGCAGGAAAGGGTGTGTTCCATTGCTCTTTTAAAACTGAATTATGTCGTGGCGCCACAAAGAAAAGTTGCTATTATTTTTTCCTTGCGAGTTTTAAACAGCTCATGGAACTAATTTCCATATTAAGTGTGAACTTCAGTTGAAATCAATACTACTCATTATTGCAGGGCAGGGCTGCCAAGGACACCCTTAAAACAAATATTTATTGTGTACCAGAGCGCATGTAGCTATACTTTACTTTTTTTTACTGTGTTACTAAAATTGACTAAATTCATTGTGCATTAAATAAAAAGAGGGCTATATCTACTCAATGTGGGAATTGAACCATGTAGTGCTTTTAGTAAATAATTTTGCTGATCGGATCATTTCAAGCCTGTTGAATCTTACAATATTCCTTTTTCATTATGGTTGTGTCTTTAAATATCATTTGAAAATATTTAGCAATTGTTCGCCTATATTTTCCAGTTTTTTTATAAAAACATTGAACTGGTGAGAGAGAATAATAAAGTAGTGCCTTTCACTGGACTAATTTATTGCGGCATAAGAATATGCAAGCTCTTTGATTACACAGAACTCTTCACCAATGGAAAGATTATTAATTCTTAATAATTTTTTTGCTAGAAGTCATTGGGTTTTTAAAATTAAATGCAGGTTATTTTTAAACACTTCCTAAAACTGTCGGTCATTTAAAGAAGCAATTCAATCATTTCATGCTTCAACTCCATGTAAAATTATGCACTAATTTAGGAGTTATTTTTGTTTGTGCGTCAGATCCTTTCTTAAAAGGCCACTATTTTCCAAAGTGCACGGAAGAACTTTCACTCATCACCAGTAACTTTCCTCTCTTTACAGTGAATCATTGGCAGTCCATTTTGCCCACACCTTTTGCCAAGAGACATCAATTCAGTAAGTCATAATTTTATCTACCTTTTCTGTGGGGGTGGGGTGAAATTGATTGATCAGTCACCCCTCCACTTCAGTAAGTTTTCTTGAAACAACATATGAACCTGCTTGGGTTTTGAGATTATATTTCTACCAGGTTTCCATGCAGCCTCGAGAGATGCTTCACTGAAGATGAACATCCCAAGATACCTATACCTTACTTCCAGAATAAATTTTACAGGCACCCTCTGCATCAGTTACCAGCCTCTGAGGACTCTTTAAGTGTAACACTGCCAGTAAAGTTGGGGATTTTTATTTGATTACATTTAAAAAAACAAAAAACATTAATGTGAATTCTTCCAGATCTTCATGCTAAAGCTCACCAGTAGATGGCACTGCTGGAAGTAAAATAAAATGGCATGCACAATAAACATTATTTCCCCAAAATCATTTCTCCCCACCCCTTTGCATGACTGTCATAGTCAGTACCAGCTATATGAATGACACAATTTCTCTTCTGCACCCCTAGATAAAAGGAGAGAAGGAAGTTCTGGCAAGGGGCTAAAGATGAGCATGAAAGTGTTCCCATATTAAGTCAATTAAAGGGTCTCTGCTAACAATGATAGGCAATATCTGTTCCTGAAACTCTGGAGAGCAGCTCCTACTCAGCCCCTAGCTTCACTGAAAACACGAGTCAATTTTATACCACTTTAATTATCATAGAGTCTCCCCAATGTGATGGAAAAAGTAGTAGAAACAGCTAAAAAAACTTAAAATCACTATGTGGGGGTAGGTTTGCCCTCAAAAGCTCAACAATTTGTGTTTGTTCCCCAAAAAAGGCTTTACAATTTTCATTGATTTCTTTTTTAAATGCTCAACAATTTTGCAGGTGTCAGGAATTTTACTTTATGAAATATGGCAACCCTAGACAGATCAGGTATGGGGAATCTTGGTTCTTCCATATGTTGCTGAACTACAACTCCCATCATCCCTGGCCATTGACCACAATTGCTGGAGCTGATGGGAGCTGTAGTTCAGCAGCGTCAGGAGAGCCAAAGTTTCCCCACCTTTCACATGCTCAAGAGGAGAATAGCCTTGCTTTGGTAGGACAGCCATGCAGCTCTGTGCTTCCTATCTACTTTTTAAAAGGAATATATCATAGATAGGAAACCTGTGGCACCTCAAAGATCTTAGATTGCAACTCCCATCAGCCTCAGTCAGATGATAGGAGTTGTAGTATGTTCTTATTGAACTCCCAAGTTTTTCTACAACAGGGTTTGAAAATGTGTAGAGCAGGGATGGGGAACCTATGGCCTTTGCCGTTGTTGTTGGACAAGTTCCCATCTTTCCTGACCATTGACCATACTGGTTGGGGCTGATGGGAACCAGAGTCCAACACTGTCTTGAGGGCCAAGGCTTCTTCAGAAGTTCCTTGATCAAGGTGTTAATGGAGCAAGGTCATAAATCTCTGTTATCACCTTACCCTCACTTGTGCAGTGTGGCGCACACAGACATAAATAAACTTTAAAGTATTTGTGGGTTGGGAGCAGAAAAGTAAACATTGCAAGACAATCTGCCTGTGTGCAGAATAAAGACTCCTGGTTTTCTGTTTTACAAAGGCAAACAGAATTTTCATTTCTACTGTGAAGTGTGAGGCTTCCCACTTTTTTCCAGTCTGTCAGTCCCAGAGCCTGCCAGTCATTCCACGCCCATTTCCATCCATGTGAGAAATATGTATCTCTTTTGGAGACACTAACAAGGCTCTTCACAGGGATTTTTAAGAGCTAGCTCTGGGAAATTGCTGAGGGTGTGTGAGAATAGGCATCATATCTGTGACTATCACCTTCATCCTTAGAGGCCGCTGCTACATGGAAAAATCTAGCCTACAGGGATGGGTACCTTGGTTTTTAAAGATTTGCTAATAAAATTGGCAAAAAACAACACAAAAAACAACAGCCTAGCAAGATGCCACAGAACAGAGAAGGAATTTTATAATTAGTGAATAGGTGATTGCGTCATCTGTGTGTAACAGTGTGTTGGTGAATATGTGAGCCCACTGTAATTTTGGCTAAATACTTTGGATGTTTACTATTTATAGTCAGACATACTATGTGTGGAAAGGAAAGGTCTGTGGAGTGGGGGAGACAGGAGCAGACAGGATCAAGCCTTTGCATGAAAATGAGTGGGTAGCAGCAACCTCTGCTTCTAATAAACTATTTGTGCCTAAGGTTATGACCCTACAATTTCTTACAGAAGTGAATAAGGCCCATGTAATAAAGTGGTGCTTATTTCCCAGTGAACATGCAGGATCAGTTTGCTTTAGTAGTTAATGCTGAAGATCAGGTGGTAGAATATTATTCTAGGAGCTTGTATCCCTCTCTTCTGCCGCAAAGGGGCAAACCCCCAGATGCTACACAGAAGACCAGTTGTTTAAAAATTAACAGCAGTTGTCAGGGTGTGTGTGCACTGGGACCATAGTGTATGTAGGAGGGAGGCTTGACTTTTCCCATGTACCCTAGATGACCCAACTAAAATCTTTCCCCGAAGCTGTTATTTGCTCCTTTGTATGATCCCTGTAAAGGAAAACTAACTGATATCTTACTGGTAGCTATCCATTTTCTTCTACCGCTCAAGAAACAGATTCAGGGATTAGTTTTTAATCAGGGGAAATGGCATGAGGCAAGTGATTAAGTCATTCCATGGTTGCAGTTGGACAGGACAGATAGTTTTTTAAAAGATTCTTGCAGGCCTAAATTAATTGTTTCTTCTATTTAATTTTGTTTGTTTGTTTGTTTTTATTGATTTATGCTTTTAACGTAGATTACACTACGTTAGTATAATACAAATCAAGAAAGAAAAAAAATACAACCTCAAAATCTGTAACAAGCTGATAAGCTAATTGAGACAGTAGCCGAGTCCCAATGGAATCAAGATTCTTAAAAGGCCCACTTAAAGAATATGTTCACTGTCCACCACATTTGAGAATCCCCCTTCTCGGTCACTCACCTCAGATAGCAGTGGGATCTTTAGGAGACCTAAACGTAAATGAAAGTAGCAGGCAGGTGCCTACGGAATGGGGGAATGGAGGCATCTGAGATATTTTGCTCCCAAACTTTCCAGGGGAAAAGGTGGGAAATTATAGATAGATAGATAGATGATAGATAGATAGATAGATAGATAGATAGATAGATAGAGTAGATAGATAGATAGTCAAAGCCAGCATCTTAAATTCAGATTAGGAGCACAATGAGAGCCAGTGAATTAGATTCTTCTTTTTTCAAAAAAAGTGAATGAAATTGTTTCCAGTAAACCCTACCATCCCCATGGGGTTTCCTCCTTCTCTTATTGTGAAATATTTGCCCCAAACTATAAAACTGCACAAGCAAAACACATTTTTAAAAATCTACAACAGCAATCTGAAAAGTGAGTGATTATCTCATTCATGTGTGTATATATATATATATCTATCTCCAGAAAACTGCAAATGTGTGCTGAACCTTTATGATTGCCTGACTGTGTGCTTTTGTGTACCTCCTTTGCAGGAATTTTTTTTAAAGGTATGCGCACAGTTGTCTGCATTCAGCTACCTAATTGGCATAATAAAATCAACAACTTAGAAGGTAGGGGCGAACAACAACAGTAACACCGTCTGTGGTGTGAACAGGAAATATTGCGGTTGCTCCTTATATAGAAATTCAAATACATATTGGTGTGGACTATTTCAATCTTATTCAATTGCGGAAAAAGTGGATTAACACCCAGATGATGCTCAAATGTGGTCAAGCCCATAATGCGTAGTGTGGGCCTCAGAATATTAGTCCACCTAGCCCAGATCTGGCCAGGGTGAATGTTCCCCAAGGTCACAGCAAGCATCCTGTTCCTTGAGATCCTTTTAAATTGCAGAAAACAATGCATTGAAACCTGGAACCTTTGGCATGCAACACAAGTGGTCTCTGCCATTAAACTTCAGTACAGTCGTGGCTGGTGTCCATTGGGATGCAAGGCAGGAGCCCAACAGTAGGGGGAGCAAGAGCCAATAAGAGGCAGAGCCCAACTAATTCTGGCCTTGTCTCAATCTTCCTCCTAGCCGAGTTTTCACAAATGTAGCACTGAGACTAAGGAGGAGGTAGCTCAGTGCCAATGTCACCCTCTGTATGGGATGGAAGTAAGAAAGTAAGCAGGTGGGGGCTGGCTGAAGGCAGACTGAGGTTGGTACGGCAGTGCCCTATTCATCCTAATGGACTATCCTCCACTGCTTAAGGAGGTGTCAAAAAAGACCAAGTCTGGTGAAAGTCTGGTGTGCATTCTACACCCACACAAGGGCTGTACAGACATCCTTGTTGTCTTTGTGAAAGAGGGGCTGAGGACCAGTCTGAAACCCCCTGATATATGTAGAATGTAGGGATCTGGCAGGAACACACCTGTTTCCTGCATTCCTCTATATTGCCTTGTAGCTGAGCCTCATATCATAAGTCAGTCTCTGGGTTCAGATCCTCCTTATAATACCCTGCAAGCCTTTCTGCGAATTGTACCGTCTATCTGCTTTGTCACACCTTTCCCTTTAACCTGCTGCTTTTGATCAATATTTTACATCTTGTCCCGGAAAGGTGGGCAGAAACAAAAGTGAAGATGATAAGACCACCGCTGAAGGGCAAGGGGGAGAGGAAGTAAAAAATAGTTTCTGGTGTCCTTTAAAACGCACCTGCATAAAATGTGCTAGGACTAAAGTTCACCCTGCCGTTACATAAAAAAATAAAAACTTCGCACAAAAAGGTACGAGAACCAAGCTCCAAAAATAGCAGCAAAGGCTACTGCAGCTGAAAGCAAATTGGGAAAACTCTTACCTTTTTTTCTCCAATGCTTTCCTAATGCGGCGTTCTCCCTTCCCCTCCTTCATCCATGCACTCTGTGAACGGTTTGCACATACTAAACAAGGACTGTGGTGGAGACAGTGGTGCACTGCGGCGAGCAAAAGGAAGTCATTTGGATCAGCGATGTGAAAAAGGGAAGAAGGGAACAATCTGTGATCAAACAATCTGGGCGACTTTCTCCAGTCGATTGCATCTTTGCAGGGCACAGCATAAATCTGACAGGGAATCCAGCCCAGTATTTATTTCAGGAGAGCAAATGGAGTTGGCAAGACAAGTCTACATCGTGTGTGTGTGTGTGTGTGTGTGTGTGTGTGTGTGTGTGTAAGGTATTGATTTGATACTTTATTGTGCATTTATTTGTTTGTTCATGGATCTATTTCTCTATATAAGTGCTTTCAATGTCAACGTCCGTGGGGCATTACAATATAACATAAACAAAAAGAAAAACGGTCCCTCTCCTGATGAGCATGCAATCTAAATTTAGACACGAGGGGAGAAAGCAGAG